ACTGGCAGAGATGAACGGATGGACAGAGGAGCAGAAAGCTGTATATCTGGCAACAAGCTTTTATTAAGTAAGGACTTGTGTCACTAAAGTTTCGTCGGAACGAAGTTACGGAAAGTTAATTAACAAACGGAGACGTAACAATAATTATATAAAAGTGCTAGAAAAATCTCATAATAGGGCATATAGTTATTTCTGAGGTACTGGAACTAGAAAACTTACTAAGGGATCAGGTTCTACTTCACTTTGAGAGGTAGGTACACTTTTTGGTCCTATATTACGTTTTGGGTGACCTTCATAGCAGACATCTTCAGGACGAAGATTCACCAGCTGGGAACAGTGTGGCCCACTCACTGCTGACCATGGGTATGATTTTTGAACCCATTCGGTTGGATCTTTCCAAGGTGCTCTATGACCATAAAGCTGAAAAATGAAATATCAGAAATAGAATGATCATCATATTTGCTCTATAATATTAGGATAATAAAATCACTAAAAAGCAAGGAGCTTTTAAAAATGATTAAGGATCACAATATAATTTACCTGTAATCCTTCTTTTACAGCTTCCATGAGGTAAGGAATAATGCTGTAATTCCATAGGTCTGTAAACCATACTTGGGAGCTAGAAACATCTAATGGACAAGACAAAAACAATCTTGGACCTAGAACAAAACAGACAATGAAAGTATAGATGAAAGACGTATATGGAAAACAATGAACTGATGCAGACAAAATAAACTCCTATTACATAGAAAATACATGGTTGAATACATACTGTATCAAGTTCCTGTTATAAACATAAACCATGTGGATATTACAGTTGTCAGGGGTTGGAATTGGCTGTTTAAAAACTTAGTGCTGGTAGCTCAGTTGGTAGAGCACTATTATGAGTTGAGAGTCTAGGCTCAAGCCCTTGTCAATACAGATTTCTTCACATCTTGACTCTAATATTGGTGTCCAGCTAGTGGGTATCATTCCACCTCTGAGGGTAAATTAAACCATGTGTATGTGCGTGTAAAAGCTAGCTTGGTGTACTGATTGTGTTGCCAGCTCAAGTGTGTCCTGATGTTCACTTGAGGACATACCTTGTATGAGTAGAGGAAGAGAAACTGTAATAGTCAGAATCTTGTTAACTCAATTAGTGGAGCATCAACTTCTGGGGTGAGGGTCCCAGGTACATATTAATACATGTTAATAGCTTAATCAGAACTCTGATTTGTATCACAATGATACAAATCAACAGGTTCAGCACCAGATTAATACACCTGGTTCTTGGGCCCGACATTAAATCCAAATGTATAATTGTATAAAAAACTACAATTAGATCATAACAGGAGCATTAATCTCACCCTTTTACTAGAACATTTGCATGTGTAAAATAGCTACATTTAGCCTTTGTAATGCTAATTCAGTGTTATTTTGTATATTCTTGGAAATTAATTTCTGTATTTTTGAGTATCATTTGTCTGGGCTTAGAGACATGTTGTTTTTCTGCAAGTATTACCTCTTTCCTTTGTTCCAAAATACATTTTTAATCTGATTTTAAACACAGTAGTTATCTTCTATGAAAAATGCTTCTTGCTTCTTAAAATGTTGTTGACATTTTATGATTTGCCATAAAACTGATTATCTTTGAATATGTCATCTTGATTTGACTGAAAATCATGGTTAAGCACATCAAATTTTATGCTAAAAAGGCTCACAGAAATGATAAAACCAGCCAGTTATACTCAATGTGGATATCTGTTAGGATTTATGTGTGCTTATAAGCATTATGTTTTTGCATTTTTGTATTATTGTACTGTTTGTTCTTTCAGGCATTATCAATGATTTGATAGCATTTGATATGTTAACAAGCATTTGTTGAAATATATATAAATTATTTCATTGTTGATATCTCTAATAATTTTAAGTCAAAAAATAACTGCAATTTTAAAATTACCATTACAGTTCTAAAAACAGCAACACTTATTCAAGATTTTAGTGCTTGTAATTGAACTGACGAATTCTACAAATTTAAGTAAACTATGCAATTCTTCAGTGCTTCTCTTGTGATTTTTGATTGTATATCTTGTTATTTATTTATATAGCAATACTTGATTATTTCAGCCAATGGAAGAAGAAAAACTTTGTACCCAACTGTTTGTTATCTCCCCTCTCTCCTAAAAAAATATATATATATATTTATATAATTATAATATCTCAGTTCACCTAAACTTAAAATATGAATTCTTCAGGACAAATTAGCTGACCTTGATTCTGAAGTTGTGAAAGTTACATCAAGAAATTCAAATGTTAACAAAATATTAGAATATTTGAGAAAATTATAGGTCTAATAATAGTGATAAAAATTATGCTACATTTTTTTTTTCAAATTCCTCTTAATCAGGCCATTTTGGATTCTATATCAAAGACACATAAATATAAGATTTTAAACCTTGTTTTATGTCTGCAATCACATATCATTGCCCAGTAGGTCTGTTGGTCAATATCAGAACTCATCAGCAAGATATGATGGCAGATAAAGATCCAATTAAAATATATTTTATATGCAGATTTGGAAACACAGGTAAGGGGATATCTCTATATTTGTCATCAACAATTTGTGAAGAATTTATCTGGTTGATGAGACAAAAGGTTTTGCAAGTGATTTCACAAAGGTAAAGGTAGTAAAGTATTTCTCAACTGTTGTGCAGACTCCATACCAAGGAATGGATCAGCTAATGTAGAGGATATGTTGATACCTCAGGCAAACCAACTGAAAGATTTTGGAAATTTAAACTAATGCATGTCCTGGTGCTGAAAACCATGCAGATATGGCATTAGGAACTTTACAAGAATTGTAAATTTTGGTTGTAGTGGCCAAAGTTACAACAACGCCAGTAACATGACTGGAAATACAGTCACCCACAAGTACAAATCAAAGATGTAAACCATTAACTAAACGTATGTCCTGATCTGACCACTTTCTTAATATTGTTGGAAATTGTGCTGCAGGACCTTGTGTTAATGCCATCATATTTGTTTAAATTTTTACAAGCACTATTTAACTTCTTCTTGGTATTAACATGCTCTTAGGAAATTCTAACCAAATGTCCGAAAGACAAAAGACATGCACTGAAATCACTCTCAAGGACTGATAGCTAAAACACTTGCCACTCTATTTCATGAGTGAAATGAAATTATGCAAGAACTTATTGAAACAACTGTTTAGAAGTTAGAGCAGCATGTTTCAAGTGATGAAGCACCATATGGCTTCAAAAATAGAACAACTTGAAATTGCAATTAAGTCTTCAAGCACTTCTTTGTATAAGGTTGGGACAAACTAGAGCACTGTTTTATCACTTTACAAGTCACTTATACAGTATATTAAGAAAAAAAACTTTCATGATTATGAATGTACTTTATGGTGCTTTTCAATATAAACAAGTATCAAGCAGAAAGTCAAAGAGCTAGATGAAGAAAGAGACTATTTGATGACTGATGATGTTGAAACTGATCAGCCAATTTTCACATTCTTATACACCATCCTTGAAGCAGAATTTGAATTTTTAACAGAATTTTAAGATATGTTCAACACAGATTCTGGAAGCTGTTTACAAACTCAAGTGCATTTACAGTAATGACTTCACAGATATTTTCCCACATGAATTCCTGCTACTTTGTCAGTTGTTTGTTAAACAAGACGTAAACAAATCTGCTATCAACTTGCACAACATTCTGTAAAGCAGAGGAAATTGAAAAACATTTTATATTGAAATTGCACTAGGCTTTATTCAATCTTACCTGCTGTTAGCCGCTAAGATGAGAGGTCTTTTTCCACAAAGAAGGGTGTTGTTTTGTTTTTGTTTTTAAGTTAAGCATAAAGCTACACAATGGGCTATCTGTGCTCTGCCCACCATGTGTATTGAAACCCGGATTCTATAGTTATAAGTCCGCAGACATACCGCTGTGCTACTGGAGGGCAAGAAAGGTGTAAAGAAATGAACTAAACAGAACTATGGGACAGCAGAAACTGTGTGATCTCTCAATCATGACCATTGAACATGACATAACTCCTAACCTAAGCTTTGAAGACACATCAATTTGTTAACAGAAATTATCAAAATATAAAAATTCACCAGTAAAAAGCAATAATGTCATATTAAAACACAATGTTGGTACATTCTGTTATTATTTTCAAACCATGAAGTTAACGGAGGACTATTTATGTAACTAAAAATAATACGTAGTGAAAGGGCTTTGAATTAACATAGAACCTCTGAGTTGCACTTTCCTTTAATTTGGTCCCGATCCTGTTACATATAAAGTATCATACAGCAATAATGCAACTATATCTAGTTTTATAGAAGTTTTTAAGACTTTCTTTTTCTTTCTCAAGATCAAGTAACATGTTGAATAAAGAGTTAAAAACAGTACAATTGGAGTAAAATTATTGTGGATAGTCATTAAACATGTATTAGGCTTTTTTCCTGAATTAAGTGTATGTTATCACGAATGCTAAGTTCTTCTAAGAGAGGACCAATCCCTACCAATAGTAACATCAGAAGAACTGTGAGTTTCCAGGAACTTGTTGAGATGATTCCACACTGTAGGGATCCAGTCAAGGATTTTGATAAGTTCTGGATTTTGTACTCCACTATTTATCTCTACTTCAACTTGTTGTCTACGTAAAAACCTTCCTAGAAACCCATTCACAGGTTCCATGTGATTGGCATACAAGACCCATCTAAGAATGGGGAGAAAAAAAGCACAATGTTAGGTGAAATCATCATCACAATTTATGAATTAACAACAGTAATGTAAAAAATTATCATCAACACTATAGCAATTGACAATAGCTACATAATATAATATTAAAAATTTTAACTATTCTAATGTAATAGAAAATGCTAACTTGTATTTTTAAAAAGACTTCTTTCAGTGTTTATAAAGAAATGTTTTACCCAATGATGTAAGTATTTTAGACAGAACAGCATGCACAAACTAGGTCAATTTACATTAATCAATATAAGCAAGAATTGTATTTACTGTTAACTATGGATACCATCACAATTATATTAACCACTTGATACATTTTTATTCCATTAACCTAATCAAGAATATAACTAAAATGTATTAAGCCTGTCACCTGAAATTGTGGTGTAGCTGGAGGTTTGTAGCTGAGCAGGTAACCTGGTTCATTGTACCTATGATAAACGGACTGAAAAACAAAGGTATATTCATCTTCTGATATTGTTAAAAAAAAAGACAGTTGTTGGCACATGATTCAACTTTTCTGGTATGGTTGTTTATGATTTCTCTCTAACTCAACTGTGTGTAGAACTAACGTAAGCTTAAAATGGCCATTGTTTATTGTAAAGAAATATCATCTAAAATAAGAATTACTGAAGAAATGCTCAGAGCATCTCTGATGATCATATATAATCTGTCATTACTTTCCTAATTTAACAATACACAACAAATGTTTCATGTTTGAGGCACATTTCACAATTTAATTAGATGGAGATATTGGCTCTTCTTAGAGTTAACAAAACTCAGGGTCCTTTGCAGAACACTCTCCAACTTATATGCATCAAAATTACAATTCAGTGAAACTTATGAAGTAAATTTAACAAAATCATTTGAAATCTAAAAATCTTTAAAGAGTAAGGTTACTTGAACCTGAAAATATTTTATTTACTCTTGTTTTAATTTTTTTTATTATCAATATCAGTGAGCTTCAAAATGCTCCTTTACCACTTATACATTAAAAGATTTAATACAAACCTAGAAAATATTGTTACGTCTCCGTTTGTTAGTTAATTTTCCGTAGCTTTGTTCCAATGAAACTTTAGCGACACAAGTCCTTTCTTAAATAAAACTAGTTTATTCTTTCTGACTACAACTTTACGATACACTTAATTTCAACAGTCGCTCTGTAACAAACGTTATAATTCTCAACAAAGTTCTCACGTGCTTAACAATATTCTCTCTGACTGCAGTTCAATTACTCATTACCTCTGTTGTCCTGTCACGATGTGAATGTCTTATATATACAAGACTAACACATATCTAGTAAATGCTAGGGCATTCTTGAAGGAACAGGATATTTCTAGAAAGGGGTGGTGTGATACTAGTTACGTGACCTCGCTGATGCAACAATATAAATCAACTTTTGCTGTTTCTTTTATGAACATTCATTCCACCATTATTTCTAAAAATATTTTCAGATATTTTACTCTCAGAATAACATGCACAAGTTTCTAGCTGCCAGATATAGATACTTTGATAAAGTTTATTTGTTTGTTTAGAATTTTGCGCAAAGCTACACGAGGGCTATTTGTGCTAGCCATCCTTAATTTAGCAGTGTAAGACTAGAGGGAAGGCAGCTAGTCATCACCACCCACTGCCAACTCTTGGGCTACTCTTTTACCAATGAATAGTGGGATTGACCATTACATTATAATGCCCCCATGGCTGAAAGGATGGGTGAGCATGTTTAGTGGGACGGGGATTCGAACCCGCAACCTTCAGATTGTGAGTCAAGTGCCCTAACCACATGGCCATGCCGGGCCACACTTTGATAAAGATACTTTTTTGTTCAGTACTAAGTCTATTTTCAATGTATTCAATACTATTTCATGTTTACTGAAAGCTCAAAAATCCATAAGAAATATAACTAAATTGTTAAAAGAAACTAAAAGGTGTCATGTCTCCTTTATTTAGAGCATACAGAATGCAAGTGTATATCAGAAGTAAAACTTATCAATTTTGATTAAGCAATATAATGCAAGTAAAATATTTCTCTTAACTTTAATTAAGTTATATATATATATATATAACTTAATGAAAAACAATATGCCATGAATGTTTTCATCATAATATGTTTAGGTTATAGATTTGAAAGTTAAGCACATAGAAAGTCCCATTTTGTGTCAACTGCTACTGTTATTGGACTACAACTTTTAATGCACACTTTAAAATGTATAGTTAATTTAAAAAGTCAGGTAATATTTAATGTTTAGTGAGAAACCTACTGAAATGAATAATTAATTAAAATACAATAACAGCAACTTTTACAGTAAGCAAGTTCTGATTTTGTTTAATAATTACAATGTTTATAAACATAGTATCGAGTCATCATCAGGTCAGATACTATGGGTCAAAACATTCTACTTATCAAAGTAATATTATCAAGTAATATTTAATTGTGCAAGGTTGATCTTAGCTACTAATAATACATATAAAGGACAAGAGATATCTGAAAGAAGAATTCTACAGAAATACATACCTATTCTGATACTTGGCACTTAAAAAACCATTAAAAACTTCACTGAGTGAGCCAACAAGGTGGAGATTATCCAGGATTATCACAGTTGGAAGGTCTGAACTATTCCTAGAAAATTACACATATGTTTAACAAACCCAATGAAATATGTTCATCATATGCACTTTAATTATGACATATTATACAAGAGTCATGTTGTAGTATTGAAAATGTTTGTGTCTTACCCAAGTTATAACTTAACATTAGTCATGAGAGACATGTGAAGGACAGAATAGGTATTATCAAAATTTAGTGCTTTTAATGTGATGTGTTTACTTTTCAACTATAAGCCTTGAAATTAGCTCACTTTTAGCTATTTTAATCTTTAGTTGTAACTTAGTATTTTTAGTTTTTACTTTATTGTTGTATAAAGGCATATTTTAGCATATGGTTTTGTTCTATATGAAGTTTAACTGATGTTAATAAGTTTAGAACAGGATGTTTTGTTTTACTTTCATTATTGACTTATACATTTTCAAGTTTTTTTAAAAAGTCATTAAACTGATCCTTTAAAACTATGAAGTTAATTATTTGTGACTTAAAAAAATAAATATAAAGAAAGAGTACTATTGAATACAATTTTTGTTTTTCAAGATTTAAAGGACAGGACGTTTGTCATGTAGCTATACAGTCATGTTGTAACTCAGTTCAAGTTATATTCTATATATATATTCTCTATCTTACCTTTCCTTTAAGACTTAAGCTCTGATAACAAGATTATTTTAGAATAAGTCAATATTTCTGGAAACAACAACCAAAAACAAAACTGAACACTGACAAATGCTCTAATACCTGAATTTTAAGTTCCTTATAAAATACATTAACTCTATAATTCACAAACAAAAATGCTATTTATTGTGATCTGTACATATGTTGTAAAAAAGGGCCAAATGAATTTAAAAATAGAATTAACACAGAAACACGAGAGCTTACATTTCTAGAATAAGAGTGGTTACCAAACAACACTGCAATAACAATTTGGGATAAGAATGCCTAAAGTGAATTCTAAATTTGGGCTATTCTCCAACTAAAAAAAAAAGTAGAAATATTGTGTATATGAATTACATATATAAAGAAGTAGTGAAAATATTTTCTCAATATTCAGACAATAACAGAAAGGTTATATTTTATCTGTTAAACTTGATGCAGTTTACATTAAATAATAACTAAAGGGAAAACTTGTGCTTCAACATAAGAAAGTTTTTGGGTTGTGATATTTTGTATTTGAATGCACAATATTGTTTTAAATGTACAGGCAGTGCTGTATATTTAAGGTAATTAAAACAGTTAAATGATCTGCCTAGAATACTCACGTATAAAGTTAGGTACATAGAGTTCTGAATGAAACTGATGGCCATGTGAGCACCACAATAACTGCAAGGTTAAGCCTATTCTATAACATGTGATACCCACAACACACCTCTAGTACAAAAGACACTCCTAGTTGAATGGTTTGATCAAAAATGACAAACCAATTGACTTATCTAGTAATAGACACAAGATCTAGCAAAGCTTTCCAAACTTGGGTATTGGGGCAAATATTAAAACTCATTAGGATGACGGTACTGGTACTCTAAGTGTTTATAAATAAATGAAGAAACTTACACATAAAATCTTAACACATAAACAATGCTGTCTGAGATGTGGCTCTGAGGGATGACAGATCTAGTCCACAGATACTTTACCTTTTGCAATGCCTAGAATTATTTGCACCTTCCTCTCCCTTAGGCATATAGTGACATCATTCATACTTCCTTATTCCTAATTTCATTTTTGCAAAGTTTAATGAAGTTTAAAAAGATATCCATGCATGCACATAAACATACGTTACTATTTCAATTATATGGATTCTCAAGAATAATTGAAAAACAGAAATGAAAATGTAGGAAAGTTTTCGTGCCATATGAGATTATTCATATTTTGTTCTTCATGCTCACTGGCTTCAAAAGAACTAATATTTCATTTAAATATGATTAATAATAATTACCATTAAGTCTGTTAATTTTTTCTAAAAGCTGAAGAACTATAAAAAGTTTAAGTTATATAGATTAGAAACAAAAATATGACTGAAAAGAACCTGAGCTTTGATTGGGCTTTTCTTTTTTTACTTGCGATGCAATTTCATGGAACATTAATAATAACTGAATTTGTGGAACTTTAATCTTTAAGTTAAGAATAATCATTTCATATATTATTTAGTTCTAATCAGTTAACATAAGAATCAAGGTTCATGATAGCAAATGATTCCTGGTGAAGTATATAAGTGAAGTGGCTACACTAAATACTGTGTTATACTGTAAATCTGGAAATGTTTATTGTAAATTGATTTATAGCCATTTTGTGATACTATCAGTTCTTGAATATTAGAATCTCAAAAAAAGATGGATGATGGATACTTCTAGATTAATAAGTTCTTCTTTTAATGACCAGCAAAAATTATAAACAAAAATAAAACAATTGAAATTTACCATAAGTTTATAAAAATCAATATATGCAACAATTTACAGACTTACAGTATTTACAAAAGTTAGAGACACAACTTATTTAAATCGATAAGTCCTTCAAAACATTTTCAAATAATATACATGATCTATTTTAATTATTGGACTCAAAGTAACTAAAAACATGCTCTCTCACAGACAATCACAATAATTTATATTTATTAGTTTCAGCAATTCTAACATAATGCTGATCTATAATCTCTAAGTTTTGCATGCCCAAGGTAATAATTAAATCAAGTCTTATTGACATATGTCAAGTCAGCTAGTCCTAAATTTAATAAAGTTTATCTTTCAAACATTAGAATATTACAAGTTTTTTATCTTTTTTTTGGCCATTTTGGTATGAATCTTTGCATGGTCCCAGTGATTAGTGTGCTGGACTGTGGATACGAGTTTTCTTGTTTTTCAGCCTGTTACTGCGGAAAAAAGAAATCACAATTTGCATTTTGGGGCCATTTTAAGAGTGATGGTAGAATCCTACTATTCACTGTGATAAAAGTTAGTGGTTGGAGCTGTTCACTGCTGCCTTCTCTCTAGTCTATGCTAGCCATCACAGATAGACTTTGAGTATCTTTGTGTGTTAATTCAACAAAAAACAATAAACAAACAATCAGAATCAAGAATAATGTTACTCACCATAAGACAGCATCTGACAAAACTTGCCTAGCTATGTGTAATTGTGTATGCTAAATAGAATATACATTTAGTAATTCTTTTTAAAAGCATAATCATATATTAAAGTACAATAAAATATAAAAAAAGTAACGGAGATGTTAAAACACACAAGATTGTTAACTATAGAAGCTTTAGCATTGATGTCTTTCCCTGAAGTTTTTAAAAGTAAAACAGTTTCAAATCGAAGTATTTCTCTCATCTAACTTTTTATGTGCTCTATAATGTTTGAATTACTTCTGAAATAGAATGAGCAGTTTCACTTTAAGAATGTTTTTTTTGTAAGAAGTAACTGCAATTTCATGTTGGCTTAGTAAATTAATCCAACAAACTAGTTGATTGTGAATAAATACAAGTTCACAGAGAATAATTTACTTTTAGATTCAGCAGAATTTGTTCTTTATTCTGGTTATAAATTTGATTTTATACAATAAATGAAACAATCAATCCAATTGAAGAAGACAGTACAAAAAATGCAGACAAATTCAAAATTTGTGTAACACCATCTGTTTCTTGCTAGAACACAGTGTACATGTAAAATCACTTGAAAAGATTTATTTTGAGCATGCTCTAAAGAACTATTGTTTCAATATGAAATGGACTTTATACCATATGCTACTGAAAGAAATGTAGTTAGAAATTCAAGATACTGTAAAACAACGATAACAAAAGAAGATGTGTAATTTTATTTTTACAAGTTTTGATTCTCAGTGAATATAATTTATTATTTAAACATACAAATTCAAATCATAGAGAACAATGACAGTTCTGTATATGATCTCTCACTATCTGAATACCTGGCTACAAAACAATAAATTGTCTTCCCTCACCTGCTCTCACATTGTTCAGCTATAATGGACAAGTATTGTCGAAGTTCTTTGGCTGACTTGTGATCCACACTGAAGGTTGCTATAGCACCACCTTTTACATCTTTACCACTCCTAGACAGTAGTAAACACACTGTGTTAAATTCAATTGTTTTATTTGATTCATTCACTAAAACCATAGCATGAGTGGAGGTTATTACAATACCAGGACTCAAACACTAACTACTCTGAAGTATTTTGGGAAAACTGTTCTGTTTTATTCATTTATTGATATAACTTAAGATATTTTTTACAGAAAATTCAACAATTCTGTGTTGAAAATATAAAGGAAATATAAAATAAATTACTGAATGTCAGTCAAACAAAACAAGTTTCTTAAGTACAATTATATTCTTAATTCTGATCTGATTTATGCACTTTAATATTATTGACACAAAAGCTCTTTTAAGGTTCAAATAGTCTAACAATCTTTAAGATTTCCGAGTAACCATGGAAATATGAAATAATTACATAACTCAGCTCAACAGGATATCTTCAGGACTTTAAAAATTGGTTCTTAATTATAAATGTGGTATTCCCAGGTATACCTTTCAGGCAGTCTCCACAGATAACAGGATGTTTTCTCAGGAAATATATTATGGAGTATATCTGATTCTGAGTGTGACTGAGTTTAAGGAGGAAAGGCACTGAACATAGGGTAATAAAGTGAAAACACATTTTTGTTCTCAGAAAAACACAATCAAAGTTACAAGTGCACTAAAGAGCACATTGCTTTTACTGGATAAATTTAGTCCTAAACCAGTGTAGATCTTTCGAGAGCTGTTCCAGACTAAGAGAGGATAGTTATAAATAAGATACTAAAATGCCCTATCTTGCAAAAGTGCAAGAGACACCCTAGGGGGAATGATCTAAAACAATAAGTAACTCGAATAAAAGATGCTTAGCCATATTCCTTGACCAATGTTTTAATGCTAAAACTACACATGGCTAGAAAAATGTACGTGTGAAAAATTTTGAAAACTCTCAGGAAACTTGAAATGTTCACCTTACACTAAAAAAGGAAAGAAGTACTAGGTATACTTATATACCTCAAGTTATCATAGATCAATGAAAAGCAACTTTACACGACTTAGACATTTTTACACAGCAAATGGTCATAATGAAAAATAATCTAAAGACAAGGACAAAGACCTCAAATTCTATAGTTGTGTTATACAAGATTTTTGTTGTTGGACATATCAGTAATGAAAGAGTTTGATAAATTTTTATATTTTCTTTGCTGATGCTAAAAGTTAAAATGCTTTCATATTCAAATGTGTACTTACCTGAAGGCAAGAAATTCAGCTAGTTTCTGTGCAAGATAAGTCTTGCCAGTTCCACTCAACCCACATAAAATAAGTCTTCTATGTTCTAACAACAAAGATATGTAGCGTTGAACAAGTGACTTGGGAATGAGAGTTTCAAAAACTAAAGCATCTATGGAATTCTGTTTTGTACCTGAAACAGTTTAAAAGCCATAATAACTAGGTTTAGCAATAATCATATATATATATAATATAATTAATATTATATAGTTTTATTTTTATCTATAATTACAGTTCTAATTAGATTTTTTTCACTCAAGGGGATACAAAGATAGGGTACATTTGTTGTTGTGCCACTATATATTCATTGTATGTGTCTGTTTCACTTTGTCACCTTGGTGGAATTTTGTTACTAGCAAATATAAATACACAATATTCATCAAAATATTATCTTGTATATATAACTATGAAATTGTAATATTTGGGAAAAAATGTGTTTCTTTGTCAATTCTTCTTGAAATGTAAAAATAACTAAAAATATTTTCCCTACCTTTCAGCATGATATGTATTTGCATATTATCTCCCACTAAGTAACCACAAGGTAATAAGTCAGGAACTTCCACCTCTGGAACATAAAACACAACAGGTGACAAAAGAATAAGACCATCAAAGGTTCACTAACTCTTTTTTAAAATGTAGATAGCTTCTTTTATATTCAGTTAAGAGAGATGCTTAAGATACATATATATAAAAATTTACTTTTCATGTATATTTCACCATTCAAACCTACTAAATTTAACTATCTACTTATTTTGCATTTACTGTGTATGTACAATAAGCTAAACAGTAGTTCTCTTCTGGAAAAACTAGCAATTATAATATCCAAAAATGAGTTTAGAGAAGTTAAGAATATGTTTATTATTGGCCAGAACATTCAAGTTATTTTTAAACGAAACAAATTTTGCTCAATATTTGTATGGATTGTTCTTTGAATGGTTTATGCTAAGATATGACCAAAGTCATTTATTAATAGATAGTTATAACAAAAATAAAATTTTAAATTAATAGGCTTAACTAAATACACACTAATTCTGATATAAATGTAAGCTTAGGATGTCCTTGAAGGAGCTGCTGTACAACAAACATTTATATTATTCTTGTGTGTTTGATGTTTACTCATACAAAAGTGTATGATAACACTATGTTGAGGATATTTCTTGTTTCTATATTGCTATTTCCTTCAAATGTTACAGGTAATATCTTTACACTATCAGTAATGAGTACAATAATTTTGTTCCCACTCATAACAACCAAGATAAAAATATTTACCTTTTGATCGAACCACATCACCAATGTGGTAGCTTAAAATGCTTTCAGCACACAAACCTAGGTTGGAAACAGGGTCTATCCGCAGGAGATAATCCTAGTTATAAAGAAGTGAACAATCAGACATTTGATAAAAATATTTACTGTATGGCGATGATAAATTATTTAAAGATTAGGTTAAGATCTGAAATTTTATTTGAAATGTTCAGAATAATCAAGTAATTACACAGAAAGAGTTGGAGCTCCTACCTTGAATGTTCTTTTCACAACATTGTCTAATGAGTCCCACTTAGTTGTAGCATTAACAGAAACTGAACCTATAAATACTTCTTGAGGAGTCTAGAACAATATAAAGACTATTATTTTCACTACATTTGAACATAAAAGTAAAATACAAATGTACTAAAAAATTAAATATATAAACCAATAAATAAATGCAGTATATTTTTACAATGATAAAAAAGGCATAGGTATGACAAATACATTTCATTAAATTATCTAATTCTTTCTAATAATATTTATAGTCATTAACAGTCCAGAGAACAAATTAACAAAATTTTATCCATCTTTCAGTCCAATTTAAGTTCTACAGATTAACCTTTTCCTGCATTTAACCTTAAACGTATTAATAAAAATATATTCATTCTGATAGGACAAAAACAACTATTATTCCCTTCCCAATACTAATGTTGCACTGATTTGAAATACTCACATGAGATATGAGGAAAGATATTTTAACACTAACATAGCATATGGACAATGAGGGACCAGTTGGACCTTCCAGGGTTTCCTTGTACACCAACTCTTGAGAAAAGTAAAAGTTTAAACCCACTCCTTTATTTTTCAGGAAATCATTAATTCCTCTCTTAAACTTCTGTAAAGTGATGGCCTCCACTACTGCTGACAGCAACTCATTGCATATATTCAACAAACTTAAGCATTATTAAGTTATAATTTATATTACATAATAGTGCCTGTAGTACTAATTCCTATGGAATTGTTGTTATTGCAATTTTCTTGAAAGATATGTTAGGTTCTTCAAACTATTAGATCATATATTTAACAGATTTAAGTCTGGCTTTGTTGTAATCTTCTGTTAGATCTAATCATATCTGATTTTATGTTCTGTATCTAAGAGACGTACTTTAATCAACTAAAAACTATATACTGGCTAAACCCACATTTGAGATTAGCAACACTAACAATACCAATGTCTACAAAACATAATAAAGATATTTTCTTTTGAATAGCTTGGTGCCCACTTAGTTATTGAGCATATATAAAGTTCTTGAAAGAGCATTTGGTGGGAAGTTATAATTTTCCTATACTGAAAATATATTTCTGATAGGTACTTACTTCTGCTCACATACATAGCTATTCTCGTTCAGTGCTACCCTCTATTTGCAAAATTTATTTCCCATGCCACAAGCCTTTTACTCCCACGTACTCTTTGGTTCACATGGTTCAACTGATTCATGCATGCAAATTGTCATGCGACAAACCTCCACCAACAGACATGTCCCATACACACGTTGGCTCATGCAACTCCCTACATGCTATTCTACCTAACTATCACTTCGACTTTAGGCAGAAACTGAAGCACTGGTGGACATGGCGAGGAAGGGTGGGAAGTGTGAGCAGAAGTAAGTACCTGTCGGTAATATATTTTAAGTGTAGGAAAATTATAACTTCCAACAAGGTACCTTACTTCTGCTCAAATACATAGCTAGAATCCCACATTGAACAGGTAGAGGGACCGGTGCAAGGGAGACAGTATAACCATCTTTCAAAAGGATATGAAGGACACCATCATGAAGGAATCCTCTAATAAAAGAATTATATATGGGACACTGCACCAATTCTATACCATGTACACTTTTCTTCCAGATGTGGAAAAGGTGAGACAGATCTGGGTGGACAACTCTGAAGAACACATCCCAATGGGAGAGAAAATGATTGGACAGTGATCCGAACCACAAACATAATAATGTCAATCTCCTTGATGAACAAAATGTGGGTAAAAGAAGGGATGTACCCCAAGGTGTAGAGTGGCTAGAGCATCCAAAACTAGACTGCAGGGAACCAACATCCAGGCGGGGTAGGAAAGAGGATCATACTATTTTCACCTCAAGTTCAGCCGATGGAGGGAGAAATTCCCACCATCGATCGGGCACATGTGATCAGAGCAAAATACATACATATCCCACACAAAGCAAACAAATCAGACCACCTCAAGGACAGTAAAATCCTCAGCATAAAGACATCAAGGGTTAGTACAAGAAGAAAAGCAAAGCAACCACAAAGTGCTCCAACCATGCCCCACAACACCAAAGCAGTGCACCCGAAGCACAATGAGTGAAGTACCATACACCCTCTGAACACATGTATGAGGACTTACGGTGATTGGTTCAGCTCTAAATACAAATCTCAACTGCAGGGAACCAACTTCCATGTGGGGTTAGGATGAGAGATCCCAATCACTGTGGGGACTCACTCCAAAGCTACAACATCCCCTCTGAGAAGCCAATGCAGAAATGGAGCATCTTTTTTGGAGGATTTCCATCAACTAAACCTGCAGAACATCATTGCCCTGCTCTCAACTGAATGGATTTATCATTTATATTGTATATTTACCATTCAGAAGGATACCTCCATGGTCCATCTCCCCACCAACTTGGAACTGGAAAATAGTAAGGACTCTCTTACTCCACTGGAAGAAAATTGAAGGGGGGTGAAGACATGGTGGAGAGTCCAGAGGAATATACACACTGGAGACAGTGCAATGGGTGACCATGAAACCCTATTCTGTAAAGCAGACCAAACCCGATTTATTCAACCTAAGATATGGGAGGGATGAGCAGCAATCCAATTCTGCTTTACACATGGGTCAGTACAGTCCAGAACAGGCATATTTATGAAGCAATTATATTGCAAGGAATAGCCTGTGAGTGATCTTGTGGAACACATCATCTTTAGTATATGTAATAGTAAAGAACAGTGTGCATTTAGTGGCCATGGAAATTACGAAAGTGAAATAAACATGGCATTACAGTGCAGATTTGAGTACGTATCTAAGTGATTGAAGTATACTTGCCACAGAGTGGGATCCTGATCAAAACATGGGACATGCCCCTGAAAAATATATATATAATGAAAGAAAGAAAACTTACCCAGTAATAGTTCTACTGAAGTCTGAAGAATGGCAACAGGCAGGATATGATAACCAGATGAGGAAGAAACAGCAACAAGATACAGATAATGAGAGATGAAAGTATGCAGAGTGGTCCACATGCCCACTTTAAGAATTTCCGCCAAAGGACAATGCAGATGAGATGCCAGGAAAAGTAAGGTGCCTAATCTGATGGGAAGACACCCAAAATAACTGATGGGAAAAAGAAGACAAAGACGAATAAGCCAATCGAATTAAAGGTCAAATCCATTGGTAAAGATTGAAGAAGAGAGATCACAAACAGAGGATAGTTGCCAAGGGATGTATAGACTGGAACAGTTATGATGGAAGTAAGCCATGCAGGCGATATAACAACGAAGAGCACGAACTAGACATAGAAGTCTATCTGGATCAGACCTGGAAAAAAGGTGGGAAATTGAAGGAAGGGAAACTGGGAAGAAAGAGGAATTACCCTCCTAAGCCGCCAAAGTTTTGGGAAGGAAAGATCAATCCAAGTAAAGGAGAAGATACGAGGAATGGTAAAGATTATGTGAAACATCGATGGCAAATAAGTCTGACCAATGATGTCTACAGGCTAAAAGGAGGAGGAAATATGCTTTAACCCTTTCCAGATGGATCAAAGGCCATGTCATTGTGTTTGTTGACTCACATTCAAAATTTTATTGAACTACTATATCATGAATTTATGTCAATATGTTTGGTATCAAACT